ATCGATACTAGCACCCTGATCCGATTAGCTCGGATATTACATCACCGACAAATTTTTGTGGCATGACTATGTTACTCAGAGTTAATGATCTACTGGCCAATCAAATTTAATATAATGATCTGAATAAACAACCAATTAAAACAAACTTCTATCGTGCTATTTAAACCGCGATTTTAATCATCGATTTTATTTTAGTATTAATTCAAATTTCAATAATGGCCACACTTGCAGGGTAATTAGATTTATACATTTCTAGATCTTTAAGTAATTTTACTTTTGCAGCTAACATATCACTTTAACTTTTCATTTTCAGTGTTCTTCCAAAACCAAGACGTCAATTATTAAATTCAGAACAACAGAATCAATTTGAACGCAAATTTGATGAACTCACAGTTACAAAGCAAAAAGAATTACCGCCTCCATACGGTAAACGGGTAGGATGGAAACCAAGAAGTTTGGATGACTTTGGAGACGGTGGTGCATTTCCTGAAATTCATATAGCTCAATATCCATTAGAGATGGGCCGCAACAAAACGGTAAGTATTCAGATCGCACAGAGAAAAGACTATTTTTTTCATAATTTTAAAACAATTCAATATGATATTAGGGCACAAGTGGTGGAGCCCTTCCGTTACAAGTTGATGCAGAGGGCAATATTAGATATGACGCTATTGCAAGACAAGGTCATGCTGAATCGCGAATTGTTCATTCACAATTCAAAGATTTGGTTCCAGTTAATCAAAGATCTGACATTGAACAAATAACTTTGGATAGGCCTAGTGAAGAGGAGGTAAAAGAAACAACCGAAAAGACGAGAGAAGCATTGGAAAAGATAGTACAAGGTATTTAATCATTTCTCTCATTATTTAACATTCATGTTGATTACTGATTCTTTTTTCATCTTTTTATTTATTCTAAGGAAAAATCAAGGCTGCACAGCCAAAAAATGTCAAAAATGATAAACCATCAGAACCAACGTATATACGGTATACTCCTGGACAACAAGGCGAAGCTTATAATTCAGGTGCAACGCAAAGAATTATTAGAATGGTAGAAATGCCTGTTGATCCGATGGAACCTCCAAAATTCAAGCACAAAAAAATTCCGCGTGGTAAGTAAGGGTCATTATTTTTGAATATCTTATGAACATCTTAGGACTTGTATTCTGATAATTTCCTTTAAACATCAGGCCCTCCATCACCACCGGCACCTGTATTACATTCTCCTCCTCGTAAAGTATCGGCTAAGGAACAACAAGAATGGGTAATTCCTCCATGTATATCCAATTGGAAGAATGCAAAAGGATACACTATTCCACTTGATAAACGTTTAGCCGCAGATGGACGCGGTTTACAAGAAGTAATTTTTAAAAATAAGTTTATCATTTGCTATGTTTTATATCTTTAATAGTTCTTACGTTTTATTCTTAAATTCATAAATAGGTCACCATAAATGATAATTTTGCAAAATTATCTGAAGCTCTTTTCACCGCAGACAGGCATGCCCGTGAAGAAGTTCGACAGCGTGCTTTGATGCGAGAGAAACTTGCTCAGAAAGAAAAAGAAGAGAAAGAAAGGCGCCTGCGTATGCTAGCACAAAAAGCCAGAGAAGAAAGGTGACTATGTTGTTCGTCTAATAGATAAGGTTCATAAATATCATATTAACTATAATAATCTTGTTACAACTGTCAGAGCTGGTATTTCTTCGACGACTTTGAACGCATCAGAATCCGATTCTGAGTCTGAGACAGACGAGAAAAAGATTCGTGAGAGAGAAGATATAAGACAAGAAAGACGGAAAGAACGAGAGAGAGAATATAGATTATCTCGAATGGGTGCAGAACAAAGAGCAAAATATCTCGCACGGTTGGTTATATTATTTAGTAATAATAATCATAATAATATATGCTACTTATAAATCTAACGTTTATTTCAATTTTTTTAGTGAGCAAAACAGAGATATTTCTGAAAAGATTGCATTGGGTCTTGCAAAACCCACACTCAGTAAAGATAGTCTTTATGACTCTCGATTATTCAATCAGTCAGAAGGTCTATCATCAGGATTTAAAGATGATGAAGGTAAGTGTAATTTATCTTAAGACAGTTCTTAATATCAATCGGATAATTGTAATTGAATTTTTCACATTTCTTTATTAGTTTATGATCTGTATGATAAACCACTTTTTGCTAGCTCAAGTTCCACAAGTATATATAATCCTAAAAAGAATTATGATACTGATCAATATGGTGGTGGAGATGAAGAAAGCATTAACAGAATGCTAAGTGTTGATAGATTTGGGATTGCTTCAAAAGGTTTTCAAGGAGCTGATAAAAGCCGGGTTCGTAATATCAGGATTTTCATTTTTATAATGTTATTATTATTATACAAGTTTAATGGTTTTTTTTTTTTTACAATAATTAGCCAAGAGATGGACCTGTGGAATTTGAAAAAGAAGAAGCCGATCCATTTGGGTTTAATCAGTTCTTGGATGATGCTAAAAAAGGAAGTAAACGTGGACTGGAGACGATGTAAGTTTGTTGATATTAAACATTTATTGATTGATTTAAATATTTGTGTTAATTTCTTTTTGATAATAGATCTGAAAGCAGCAAAAGAAAGAAAGTTGCATGATCCGTACCTAGAGATGGTAAAGCCATTTTAGGATTGGTTTGGGTTATAAAACCTTTAGGTTCCAATTAAAAACCTAAGAACCAGATTTTTATATAATAAAATCCAAACCTAAGTTAAACTTGGTTTGGTTCAGAACTAAATTTTAAGACCGGTTCTCAATATTTTGTGACAAAAAATAAAAATATATTAATAAAATGTTACTTAATTCACATCAAACTTTTAGAATTTATTATTTTAATCTTTTGAATAACTTTACTTAACCTATTAATATCGATTTATTTAATAAGAGGGTAAGTAAAGTGGAAATCGCATAATTAAGTAAAAATGAGGTCTATCAAATAGTCTAATTATTTCTATACCATTCAATTTGTCTCACAAAAATGAACCGAATATAAAAAGCATTCGTTTCTAATCACTGGATTACCAAATAATCAACCAAATAAATATAAATGACCTTTTTTATTTAGATCGATATTACCTAATCCGATTTCGATTTCTGTATTTGGGGGACCGTAAAGCCAGGTTTGATCATGAAATTTAATTACATTAAGGTTAGGGATAGATTAAAATCCATTTGGGTTAGGGTTAAAAAAGTCTTATAGGTAAAATCATCTGCCAGACATTTTTTCTTAATCCGTGTAAACAAAAATTCATTTGCAAATTCGGCCAATAAAAATTTATTTTAAAAAATAAAAATTTGCAAAACTAGCCAATATATTTAAAATAGTGTTACCATATTATCTCGAAATAATGCCCAGGAGCATTAATTATTTCAGGATGCACAATTTAAATAGTACAGTACTAAGAATTAATTTAGCCGAATACAATAAATAATTGTTATTGAAAATCTTCGATTAAATTAATTTTCAGCTCCTTTAAGTTGTGAATCCCGAAATATGTAACACCCGAGGAGATGATACAGTACTTTAAAATTTCAAATTCATATTTAGTTATATGGGGTCTTTGCCTTGAAAATGACCTTACGGTATCATGTACCGTAAGGTCATTTTCAAGGCAAAGACCCCCATACATTACCGTTACTAATACAAATTGATATCAAAATTAACATTATACATCTTAAAACACTATTAATAATTTCATGTTCAAAATAACCCTTTTGGCACCAATCGATTCGTCTCAGCAAAACAAAATTGGATGGTGTCAAAATCATCCAATTCTGACTAATAGATCATATGTTATTGGTAGGTTATTGGTAGGTTATGGCAAATGTTTTAAAGCTAAAAATCATGATTTTTTGATTTAATACATTTTGACGTAATCATGGTCTAAAATTGTGCAATGCAATTGGTATCGTATTTATTACGATTACAAACTTTTAAAAAAATAACAAATTTGGATATCTGCACAGCATGTGATGCCGCACAAGTTAGTTTGAGTCATAACTTTGAAATAAGCTTATAGCATTTATTTAATCGGACTGTTAACAATAGTTGGAAATAAACAAGATTCATTGTATTACTCTACTAATTATTTTTACCAAAAGTTCTTGAAATACGCACCAACGCACCATTTTTTAGACAGACATCTATGGCTTTTTATGTGTTTTGGGCCTCCATAAGATCTGATTTTTAAGAGGCTTTGGATTACTACGTTGGCTTTATATATCTTGTACATACATCACTAAGCAATTTTTTTTTTTACACTTCTATATATATATATATATTTATTTATTTTTTTCTTTAGCAGAAATAAGATTTTTTTTACTTGATACTGTAACCGTTGTTGGGAGAGCTTATGAAAATAATATGAATAGAAGGTGTACGGGGAGATAAAGACAACTAGACAGTCGAAGTGGGTTTTTATATTTGTACCGAACAAAAGAGACAAGAAGATGCGGTAACGAATATTCTAATAATAATGGAGATGATTAGGGGGCGATGCAACTACAGGCGATGCTGTAAACAA